TGGTTAAATGTCATTCAATGAGAGTGAGTTCCAAGTTGATGGACCCGCTGACAGCGAGACTGCGAGGTTTAAATCTCACTAACCCAGTGAGTGTAACAAAGAGGTCGTGATAACCGACAGCAGTGCGCTTAATAATTTTGCGTCTCCGAGTCACAGCAATTTACATCTGTGAAATATCGTGCATGTTATAAAAAATGCACTTAGTATTATTATTACTGGCACGCGCACACGTCCACCAGATAGCACAGAGGAAATCGGTGCAGACACTTGTACCTTTTTTGTTTATGTGCAACACCTGCCGGCACCGTTCCTCACAAATGGACGGCAATGATGTGGCTGTAGTTCACGCTTCCGTGCTAATCGGACGTGTGGCCCAGTTGATGACCGGAGTGGATGCACACGCTGGTGGAGCTGAAGACAGTTAAATAAAAATCTATTTAAGTTTTTGTTCTACACAAGAACGAAGGACCGTAGCAGAAAGCTTGGTAAAAAAAAAAGAAAAACTGCACGCGAATATATCTGCCAAGCCCATGAACCCGATGCGTTCCAATTGATGGGGGGGGGGGGGGACAGTCAACCAGGGGAGTGGGAAGAGAATCTATTGCCTCACATAGAAAAATCACGTCGGTAGAACGTTCGGTTTTTTGTGATGTAGGGGAGGTGAGTGGGAATGGCTGTGAAGGAGAAAATAAAATGGAGAGGGGTGGTGGGGGAGAGGATGAGTTCAACATATGGGTGGGGAGTCGCAGGCTTGTATGGTGGAAGATGGGAGGGGGGAAGAGAAGTGGAGGGTAAACTGGGGGGGGGTGGGCTGAAGTAAATTTTAGAGGAGTCCACGCGACTGGTGATGAATGCGTGTGACTTGCGTCTGAGATGCATCAGAAGTCGATCAACGCTACAATTGTACGTATGTGCCGCAATTGGTGACAGAAACCCGCCAGCCGTAACGTCGTGTGTGTAGCAGAGAATGTCCGTTCAGGGTCGTCGACTTTGCAGAGGCAACTTGACATCAGCAGAAAGTGAGACCTCCTGTGCCAGTGGGACCAAAATTACAAAGAAAAACTAAAAACGAAAGCATGCGTTTTTTATTTGCTGTTGGTTTTTCATAATGCACAAAGGCCGATAGATTTTTGTATACGTTTTTCTGTGCTTTTGATATCCTGATTTTGGCTTGCACAAAATGTTATAAACACACGAACACATGAATGCATGCATAGTTGTGAGTGCCCATGCCATTGGGCCAGTTTACATGACTTGGTAGGTGACCTCTATTGCATGTCCAGTAATTTATGTGTGGAATTGCCAAAGCATTCTGTCTTTCCCCAAGTGGATGTTAAAGATGTTGCGATGTAATTTACAGGTATTGGCCAATAAGTGATGTTCAACCATTACACTGGTCTACAGCCAAAATGCTTCCAAAATAAATGCAGTTGAACTGTACTAATTCTGGGTCACCGAGAATGAAAATGATGCTTAAAATTACTGATTGGCTCTAGTTTTCAAGATATGCTACTGGGTCAGTATATACGACCCTTGACTTGGGAATGGCGGAGGATACGTGAGTTATAAAGGGAAGGGATCTCATTTTAAACCAGAAATTACTAAATTACATCTTTGACTGGATCTATGAATACATCTATGACTGGGTTTGGACAGTACTTGCTTTTTGAGCAAAACAATTAATGATGCAATCTGAACCTGCTATTGCATCATACATGATATGAATTGCATCATGTTATTCCTAGAAGTCATGGATGATGCAATCATAACTAAGCTTACATCCCTCTGCTGAACAAATTGCCCTATATCAGCTCTAGAAATCATGCAGTGTCGTGCTCTCTTATTTGTCAGTGTTTGATTTTGCAAAGGGACATATTTCTGTTTAGCCAAAATGAGTAGAGATGCCTCGTACTTGTGTGAACGAAGCAGAAAACTTCTGCTATATTTGTGGTGAAGTGACTTTTGCATCACAAAAGCGCAGTATAACCACTATGGTTAAGAAAGTCTATCACCTTTATTTTGGCTGCAAAATTGGATATCAGGACAAGATGTGGGCCCCACAAATATTCTGCAACACTTTATCCTCATGGCGGTACCCCGGGGTACTAAATAATACAAAATTAAATAGAAATTTCTGGGACAATATTTTTGCAGGGGTGTACTTAACGACTGGGATATCAATTAATCCTAAATCAGTGCTACTCCGCGATGTCGAAACGCAGCGAGGACGATTGCACTGAAGCCCTGAATGCTCGTATGCACCATAGTGCATCGTGTACAGCTCGTCGAGATGAGTCAATTGCTGCATCGCCGACCATCAACAGATTAAAAATTACTGCATCACGGATATTATGTGAGAGCCGGGGTACTATGGTTCCCCAGGGTACCGCCATAAGGTTCACATGTGCAACAAATCTTTGCCAGTGGTTGAAGAGGAAACCTATGCCTTTTGCAGTGCCAATGATTTGGAGAGAGCCAATAGATCATATCAGCAATTGTTACTTCTGCATGGCACCTCCAGTTGGGAAAGGTGTGTCAAAGTATAAAAGTGGACTGCATTATCCAAACATTCCATCAGCTATACGCTCAGTACCCCACGGAGGACTCCCGGTTCCTGATGCACCAGAATCATTCTCACTTGAGTCAGATGAGGAAGAGGATGAAACTTCTGGTCCTGAACCATCAAGGTCACATGACCCGGAATTTCTTCCATCCTCTTCCTCTGAACCACACCTCATAACATAAGGCGAACTGAAAGACCTTGTCAGGGATTTGGAACTACTCAAGAGTAAGGCAGAGCTGTTGGGCTCCAGACTGCAGCAATGGAATCTCCTGGCAGGTGATGTTTGGGTTTCCATGTTTCGTGACCGTCAAAAGGATCTTGTCCCATTCTTCATGAAGGTGATCTTGTAGCCTCCAACAACATCGATGGTGTGATGGCAGCCCGAAACATCGTTCATGATCCAGATGAGTGGAGACTGTTCATTGATGAATCGAAGATGAGTCTTAAAACTGTTTTGCTGCATAATGGAAATGTTTTGCCATCAATCCCAGTTAGTCATGCAGTCCATATGAAGGAAACCTATGACAACATGAAACAACTTTTGAGGTGCATAAACTATGACCAACATCAGTGTCAGCATTGTGGCGATTTGAAGGTTGTTGCTCTCTTGCTTGATCTGCAGACTAGATACACAAAGTACTGCTGTTTTCTCTGCGTAATGGGATAGTCGTGCGAGAGATTCCCACTACAACCAAGATAGATTGGCCACTCCGACAGTCATTGGAGCGTGGGAGAAAAAGTGTTTAGCATCCACCACTTGTTGAATCAAGGAGGATTTTGTTACCACCCTTACACTTCAAACTGAGTCTGATGAAGAACTTTGTAAAAGCCATTGCCAAAACACAAGCAGCTTTCAAGTACCTCCATGGAAAATTTCCAGGTTAAGTGAAGCTAAAATAAAGGAAGGTGTCTTTGTTGGTCCTCAGATTCGTGAACTTGGAGATTATGCATTTGACAGTGCACTGTGTGGCAAGGAAAAGACGGCATGGAAAGCCTTGCAGTTAGTGACAACACATTTTCTCGGAAACATCAAGGCAGACAACTACAGGGAGTTGGTGGAAAACCTCCTCAAGGCAAACAAAAGCCTTGGTCGCAACATGTCACTAAAGATACATTTTTTGCACTCTCATCTACGTAGATATTTTCCCACCGAACTGCGGAGTGGTGAGCGACGAGCATGGCGAACGATTTCACCAGGGCATTGCAACAATGGAGAAACGATATCAGGGCAAATGGAGCCCATCAATGCTTGCAGACTATTGCTTGACAGTGACAAGAGATGCTCCATTTAATGAATACAAGAGACAAGCCAAGACGCCCCGAGTAGACACTGAATAAGGACTAAACTATGTACTTATTTATACATAATTGTTGTTTGTCTTTTCTTTCATAATAAATGTTATTTATACAACCCTTTTGCTGATTTTTAAAGTGTTACATGAACAGGACAGGTGACCTGTTATCTTGCACAGCAACCATTAACACATGAAAAGACCTAGGTTTACAATTTATTCGTAAAACTATACTATCTACACAATATACATAGATGCAAAATGTAAAAACTTAAACATCTTGGGAACAGTAGCCAATCGGTTGTTTTAATTGTTACATTTGAATTCAACACATCAAAATCCATAATAAACAGCACATTTCATCTCTGAAGCAGACGACTTCTAAATAATTGTTAAAGCAGTGTTACCTGCAATTATATTGTACCGGAAATATCGTAATGTAGCCACTGCTGTGGCTCTCTGTCTTTCAAAAGTGGACTGAAACTGGAAACTGATGTCATAATCAATTAACAAATCCCAAAATGATTTTGGGTTTTTTTATCAATATATTTGATAGAACCGTAAGTTTATATTAAAGCCTCCCGCTGTATTGGTCTGGCCATACTTCACCACGCTGCTCAGTGTGGGTTTCAGAAGTATGAACCCTAAATAACAAATTATATTTCACTATATGTGAACCCATTGAATCCGCAGGTTTAATTTTGCGAAGGCGACGTGAAATGCATTCGAGTACATGCAGAGCATCGTTGGCTACATACGGTGCGATGGACATTCAAAAGACAAAAACAAAGATCCCCTATATAGCCTTAACAGACTTGGGGCAAGTGCTGTTAGCTAGCACCTATGAAGGCCAGCATGGTATACGGGGGGGTGGGTCGCCAGCACCACGCCCGGCCACCTTTGTCTCCCAAGTGGCGATGTTTACACACCACACCAGGTACTCATTTGAGGCTGAGTACACCTAGGGGAGGCCCAGGGCCAGTTCAAATAATTGTCACTTGTGTTTGCCATGAGCAGGAATCGAACTCAGGTCGCCAGGTTTGTAGCGCAGCTCACTAACTGCTACACCACTGCTCCCCACAACACACACATACACACGTAGGTAACAGAACATGGATCACACGTCTCATTGTGCGTGCGTCCAGGTGGAGTCGTACGTCTTATTCTGTGGGGGCCTCCCGGCGCCCGAGTGCTGTGACAACCCTCTCCGCTACAAGTTTAGTTGGAGCCCTCGCGGGGTGCTCACCAACACCATGGGGGCTGCTCGCTTCCTACGTGGCGGACAGGTAGCCAGTAGCGATGGCAAGCCTCGTTCCGGCGTTCTTCGCACCCATTTGGCTGATCCGTGTCACGTGACAATCCCTGAATGTGGTGTTTCGTTCCATTCTGATAGGCATCTTAAGCATTGTGCACGAAGGCACAACAATGATTAAGATGGGCATAGTCTGAGAGTAGGGGGCGATATAGCCACGTCGTGTTTACCCCATTAGGTCATTGAGTAATTTGTGGTTCTTTTTTAATGGACTTTGTTAGCAGGTTATGTCATAGCAGCTACTATGCACTGATTAAAAGCATTCTTATTCAGACATTGGTACACTGGAGAAGAAAATGGAACAAAAGCTCAAACGTGTGTAAATAAGCATGACGCGATTCTTGAGTCGAGAAACACGCGGATTATGGGACATGCACCGGTTAAAGGCACCATTATGGCAGTTAAATGTTAGTGGGGGGCCTGGATAGATGCGTCACTCGACGAAACGATGGCTGGTGGGTAAGAAAAAACAACGGAGTGCCGCACCTTTAAGTGAACCTGGCAAAGAGGAGCGATTAATTCAGCTTGGGTACAGGTGCTGGGAATTTTGATGCCTCATGGAGGCCTGCATCCAGCAGTAGATAATCATGGCTGATGATAATCATTTTTGATAATTCCAGTATAAGTTTGCACTTGCTGTAATAAGGTATGTGTGTCTGTTGTATCCAGCAAGTGATGTGACATCTGAAATATCGATGGGCTGCCATCTGACAGGTGGTGGAGATTCCGGCTGGGGGAGCCTTGCTGGATGCGGTGGAGCCAATCGACTTCATGCCCGGCTTAAGCCTCGAGGGGCTGCCCAACAGGGACAGCCTGAGCTACATCAAGGACTATGGGGTGCACGGCACTACCACGTTCTTCCGAGGCACCCTCCGCTACAAGGTGCGCGAAGTCTACATACATAGGCACCTTTTTAAGTAAAGCGTAACATTTGACACTATCATTTTTTAAATATGACATGTAACGTCCAATTTTTTTTCAACAAGCCGTAGTTTTTTTATTTAGGATCTCAACAATCCTCCTTTGTGGACTTTACATGCCAACCATTTATTTATTAAGTTGTCGAGCCAGGCTGGGCTAAGATTGGGCGATCGGAGAGTGCGAATTAGATATTTCCTGAGTTACGCGTGCGATGACGAAGGTCACAGCTAAAAAATAAACCATGCCCTTGACTACGCGCCTCAGCGTCGAGGAACGAAGTGGCCGGGTGGCTCGGGGGACTTAGCAACTGGCCTGAGACTACTGGAAGCCGGCACTTCATGAAAACGAGGATCTGAAGTGTAATGGATAAATGTCCTTAACCAAGTCACTCTGCGTGCGACAATGCACTGATTCGTAATTTTAATTAAATTCTTACGTTCACAATATATATTGATGGCATAATGTCCACTAGAATGCACTTTTGTTATTTTTGCAGATCATACCAATAATTTTTGCAGCTTTTCGGTGGGGGAGGCCCAGGGTAGGTTCAGATATCGACTGCCACTTATATTAGCCGTCCCAAAGGGTTATAGCACAGTGCGCTATGCAAATACATTTGAAGAAGTGAGAGGAAGACTCAATGTGGTAGAAATCATGGAGAAGATGAGACAGAAAAGGCTGGTGTGAATCAGTCATGTGGAAAGACAACAGGAACATGTGGTCTAGAAGGTGCAAGTGATGCAAGTGGAAGGAAATAGATGAAGAGGAAGGCAGAAAAAGAGGTGGGGTGATATGGTGCGATTGGACATGGTGGCTCGAGGAGCGGAAAGAGAGATGGTGCAAGACAAGGAAGTGTGGAGAAGGTTGGCAATGACAGCGGACCCCACATGAGTGGGACGAACGCGTGGGAGAAGAAGAGTAAAGTACGTGTGTCGGCGTCAATACACTTATAGCAACTATATATCTATCCTATACATTCATTCTGTGACCTTCGTGTACGTTTGGTAAATAACTGTTTCAGTAATTTATTTCAGGGCAGTTTATTCCGAGCAATGGAGATTGTGAGAGAAACATCTGTATTTCTTATGTGGAGAAAGGGGTTTATGTTGCCGTGTGGGATTCCAAATTGAGTGATTTGCTGGTAAATTATGTCATTGGGATGTTTGAGCAATACCAGCTACATTGTACGTTTATTTATGTTTAGCTATACGAGCAAATGGGGGAATCCGGAGGAAACCAATGCCAAACGGGGGGAGAACATACAAACTCCCACACAGGAATCGAACCCAAGCACCTTGTTGCTGTGAGGCACGAGTTGTACCACTGCTCTATTCCGCCAGCCTGCGTTTACATTAACAATTATCAAACCCAAAACCTCTGTGCAGAACGTGTCAGCTGCTCCAGCCCTTCAGGAACTGCAATGCGGTGTATCACTGGGAATCCTGAAGTCGACAACAATACCCTGGCTGCCCATGCAGTCACAAATCTCTCCCCCACCCACTGCCGCAATGCCTGCAACCCTCCAGGGAAGTTCTGCGAATCGAGGAAAACGGTCGTCTTCCCATTCACCAGGACCTCAATACCGTGCCTCGCCATTGCTTGAAGTCACGCCACAAGCCCTTTTGAACCCATGCGCCTCACCTTCAATAATGCGAATTCAATCCCAATGAAGCTTGGAGAGCTGAATGGAGTTTAGAAAAACTCACAAACAAACACCTTGTGAAAGATCAAACGCAGAATATCCCTGGGTTTGATCTTCCACGAAGCTCAGGGCCTACCCTAAACTGCATCGAATGCACAAACCATGGCAGATGCGGATACCTTTTGCACAAATGGAAAATGTAAAACTCTCCAGTAGTGTGCAAACCTGGTAATCCAGAACAGACCATACAACATATAACTACGCAATGCCCAACCAACAAATAGTAAGGAGACATCACAGCGATGATATGCTCCACTGCTCCTCACATGGTTGTCTGGCTTGACCACCTGGATGTGAAATTAGAGTTGTTTCTCTGCATCTACATCAGCCATATAAAATAAGAAAAATAATAAGGAACTTGGTGTGGTTTCTGTCACGATTTTCTGCAGGTGTGACCCTGTGACGATATCACCTTATGTGTGGCTGCCTGTTGCTATGGATGTGCTCCCTGTAAATGCAGGGCTTCTGCAAAGTGGCCAAGGCATTGGTGCAGATGGGGCTCATGAACTCGGAGCCACACCCGGCCCTGCAGTTGGGGGGCGCTACTCTCACATGGGTAAGTTTTATACGCAAACACCTAACTAAAGTATTTTATGACGTGTGCTCATTGAAATGTTTAATGCATTACAGTGGTACCTCGGAGATCGAACTTAATTCGTTCCAAAACCGTGTTCGAACACCGATTTGTTCGAACACCGAATCATTTTTCCCCATAAGAATGAATGGAAATAGCATTAATTGGTTCCCCACCCAAGGATGCTCCTATTATGGGCCATTTTTACACACAGTTTACAATATTAAAATACAGTACAGTACATAAAAGCATACAAAAAACAAGAAACACAGTTATAATTAAAAGAATAAATGAACATTGAACTTCACTTTACCTGTAGTAAGGAGAGTGGATGGCTTTATTGGAAGGTGGTGAGGAGGGGAGAAGGAGGTGTCAGTGTTGCTTGGAAGGGGTCTCCCTCCATAAAAAAAACGTTGGGTAACTGACCTTCTGGAGTTCTTTCTTTTCTTTGCCTTTTTTCTAGCACTAACTGTGATTCACTTGAGGGCCTTTTTATTAAAAACTGATCAAGAGAGGATTGTTTCTGCCTCCGTTTTAAGATGTTTCTGAAATTACTCAATGCATTATCATTATAAAAATCGCCTGCTCTGCTGGCTACTACCTTATCTGGATATTTTTCTACAAAATTGTGTAACTCGGCCCATTTTGCAATCTTTGAAAAAGGGCTTTTGTGTACAGTTTTTTAAAGTTGGAAATTACCTGTTGGTCCATGGGCTGGATGAGAGGAGTCGTATTGGGGGGCAGGAACTTTACAGTGATGAAGGACGAGAGAGCTACGCATAAACTGGGTCATTCGCCTTTGTCTCGGTCGCCCTGGCTACGCGTCTCAGCCCAAACAGGTTTTTCCAGTTGTTCGACCTCCGAATTTTTGTTCGATGTCCGGGGCAAAAAATGGTCGAAAATTTTGTTCGATCACCGAATTGTTCGCGTTCTGGGGCGTTCGATCTCCGAAGTTTTACTGTATTTAGCAATTCTGCGTTGGCAGTGGTGCACAAACACAATTATTTGACAAGAGTGTTGATTGTATCTTCATTGGAAATCAAATATCATCTTCCAGATCCACGTATATTTATTTTCGTATTAAAAAATGTTTGAATGATAAAGACATTCTCTTGACAATATAAAATATTCGGGTTACAATGTTTTCGTCACAGTGCCCCATAATTGCTTGAGCAAGCTCTGCTTGTAACAAGATAGAGTGACACACGATGACGAGTCTAAGTGCGATGTGATCTGCACCTTCAGAATGTGGGCAGCATAGCAAACTTGCATCCGCCACACTTCATCAGCACAGTGCAGGGTGGGGCAGAGCAATTTTTCCTGCTGCTGCTCCACCTGGGCAAATAAGTCTAAGTCTCACATTTGCACTTCATGCATTTTGTGAAAATTGGGCCGGATATATCGTGAAATTGCTGTTCAAAGCAGCGTGACACAGATGTCTCAACCATCCACCGCACAAATGTGGACAAAAAGAAAAAGTGTTTCGTTACATCTCGATTATAACCTCATGGACACTAAATGAATGTGGTGTTCTGATGTGGCACATATCCTTGGCAAAACTGTCTTAACACTGTCGTTGTACCTGTCCCGCTGCGTCACTTGGTTGCTGCACCACACTTAGCTGGGTGGTGGCGGCGATGTTGCGATTGTGGTGTGACGCAGCGGGAGTTGGTGTGCTCGGTGCTGGGAGTGGATGCGTCCGTGGGGAAGGAGGAGCTGCAGAAAGCCGTGCTGCACCGGCTCAAGGGGAACGAGGACAGCCTGCCTGCCCTGCAGCAGTGAGTTCGTAGCTGCTTCTCTCCAGTCAGCCCAACACTGCAGGAGCACATCCACAACTAGCTTTTTTTGGGGCGCTACAGTGGCAAGATATTAAATACCTCGCCTGGTATGCAGAAGAGAGGTGGGTTTGATCCCGACCCTGACGCCTGTATATTTGGAGTTTGCATGTTCCCCGCGGTTGCGTGTATTTAACGCTGAGTCCTCCAGTTTTTTCCCTCTGCATTTAAAAAGATGCGTTTTGAGTATTTGGTGCAATAAATATCCATATGATAAGCCACTTGGTTGAGCTATCATGTGGCCAGGTCGCTTCTAAAAAAAAGCTATATAGCTCAGCGGGCCTTACCGGGTAAAATAAAAATAGTAATTGTATATTATTAGCTCTTTCGGTAAAGTCACGTTGAAGGGAAACAATAAAATAATAATATATATAACCATATTTTATTGTTTCCCTTCAACGTGACTTTACCGAAAGAGCTAAGAATATGAATTACTGCAGTCACGAAAGCTTTAAATCAGTAATCGTATAGCTTGATCAGCGCACTTGGGCCTGTGCAGTTTTCCTGTATATGTACAGTTACGTAAATGGCGAGCATGTGTGTGGAACGTGATGGATAGAAGGTGGTTTTGCAGGTGTGTGAGATGGCCACCAGACATGGCTGAGATGATGAACTCGCTACGTTTGAGGAGCTGGTTTGAAACACAATTATTTGACGAGTGCATTGATTTAATTTTCATTGGAATGCCAAGGAAGCTCACAATAAATATGATCACGGGTGGCTACTCAGAATGGCACCCAAGAATTCCCGGTGGTGCAGCTGTGCACGTGTGCCGACGTGGAATTCTTGTCCCCCTGACGAGCCACCGGGCCCATCTGCTGCGGGTCACCGTGCTGCGTTGTGTTGCAGGCTGGGATTGCTGGGCGAGGAGCCCGTGGGAGAGGCACCCAGCCTGGTGGATGCCCTGGCCGGGCATCTTGAGAGGAACCTTTCCTTTGGTAGATCCCTGTCTGTCTGGCACGCGTGTGAAATGTTATTCATATTCAAATCTACAAAAGTGTTTAGGTTGTTAAATGGACCTTTGGCCATGGGTGGAGTTTGCAGGGGGGGCACGGGGGAGCAACGCCCTGCCCCCCCCCCCCCACCTCCCCCACCATAACGGACATTTTATTTTCAGTCGTTTAGAATTAAGATGAAAAAAATATGAATTATAGGCACCTACAATCTATAATGTGAGGGACAAAGCAAGTCCCTGCCTCCCCCCCCCCCCCTTTGGCTGGGCCAAATTTAGCCCAGTGACTTAGTGGCGGATAATTTAGAAGTTAAGTAGATTTTTGGTTGTCGTGCTGTCGTGAACGCGAGCGCTCACACACGTCCACGCGCAAGCTCGTGGGCATGTTACCCTTGTGCCCTTTGGCGGCGAGGCTGTTCAATACAAGCGGTGCTACAATGCTTCAAATCAGCACGATCCTCACCTAGTATGAGACGTTGAGTGGAGCACTCTGAATTTAATCTACAATAAATGCGCGTACATACTATCAGTGTTAGAAACTGTCTATTAGCAAATGCATTTGAACTATGATAATATTGCAGTGATGCATCACCAACGATGCACTAAAACACAAAACAACCAGCACGCTTTCTAATTACATATCGTTCACTTCTATTTACTTGCAAAGTTCAGTCACTAAAACCGATACATCTGAATGTGTCACAATGTAACGGGCCCACACATTGTAATGGGCCTGCGCATTCTTAATAAAAAAAAAGAGATCTGAATTTGTATAGCACAGGGATTTGCTCAGTTATCAAGACGACACTGGCAAGGCAGTGGACTTGACGGCCGTCCGACAAAGGTCGTGCGGTGATGCTGACCAGTGGCGGTGCGTGCGGCGTGCGCAGGTCCAGACGAGCGTGACCTGGTCATCTTGAGGAACGAGGTGGTCGTGCGCCTGCCCACTGGCGTGCGGGAGAAGACGGTGGTGAACCTGGTGTCCTACGGAGACCGCGGCGGCTACTCGGCCATGGCCAAGACCGTGGGCTACCCTTGCGCTATCGCTGCCAAGATGGTGCTCAGTGGTACGAGGCCCAACGGGGTCATTTCCTACCCCCGATGAGTTTCTCGAGCAGTGACGTTTAATTCTAATGGCACACAAAGGTGCATGGTACTGCATTTACAGACCACCAGCTCGACAGAACTGCGTGGGCAGTCATTTTGTCATTTGGAACCGTGACCATCCCAATGGGCAGCGGTGAAAAACAGACACAACTCGTGGGTTTTTTGTGCTGGATGCGTAGTGGAAGAGACATTCATGCTGCAATCTGATTTTATATTGATAGTGTGCCTGATATAATCTGGATGCTAAAAAGAGCAGCTTGCAGCGGTGACAATTACTTTCTAAAAAATAAGTATGGTCTTATTGCGTTGTACGCTCTACAGTGCCTCGCAGCGTCGCGTAGTAGTCTAACAGCATTGAGTGCGTACGACGTCGCGATACGGCTGCTGCTGCGGTGTTTTGATGTCCTCTGCGGGGCTGTGCAGGGGAGATCTGTGAGAAGGGCATGGTAATGCCCCTTCACTCGCACATCTACCAGCCGCTGCTGGAGAAGATCCGTGTGGAGGGCATCACCTACACCGAGAAGACCACCGTCCAGTAGCCGTGGGCCTCTCAGCTAAGCTAGTGCCGCTCGTTGGTGTCTAATGTTGCACATTCACGTTATTTTGCTCGGTGACTTAATCATAATATCGGCCTTTATTGGTTAGATCGCGTAAATATAAATGTGTTGTTGACCCACCACCATCCCCGACACAGCCAATTAGTAAGGTTTGTCACATACACGAAACATTCCATTTAGTTACTATTTCAGTACACCGGTTGTGTGTTGGAGAGTAAACACGCAGCATATTTACGCAATCTAGCTAAAAAACCTTAATAATGAATATTGGTCGCAAAAGCCTGCATGTTAAACTCTCTCACTTAAATTTCGATTTGAAGCTTTCGTGACTGCAATGATTCATCTTCTTTGGTTCTTTCGGTAAAGTCACGTAGAATGATAATAAAATAATAAATTGATAAAATAAAATAACACAATAATATTAATATTATTAATATTATTGTGTTATTATTAATATTATTGTGTTATTTTATTTTATCAATTTATTATTTTATTATCATTCTACGTGACTTTACCGAAAGAACCAAAGAAGATCTCTCACTTAAAATCATAGTCTACACAACAGTGTTCGATAACCTGTGTCATTGTATGAAAATATATATTTGAGATTGCGTAAATTGTTCTTGACATGATTAAAATTAGTGGATTATTTTTCTCATATTTAGAAGTTGAACCATCGATGCCCACTGCCATTTCTATCAAATGGTGCTGCTGGTGTTCAACATCATTTAGACAAATTCTAGATTTGAAGCTTTCGTGACTGCAAGGATTCATACTCTTTGTTTTTTTTCGGTAAAGTCACGTAGGAAAAAAATAATAAAATAAATGAAAACAACTAAGTTAAATCACGACGTTTCGGGCGCAACACCAGTGTCCTTCAGGTGGGGACAACATAGCGAAAGCACAAACGCTTAAGTGTGTCTCAGAGATGGCTGTGACGAGGGATTATATACTCATTGGTTTTTTCAGTAAAGTCACGTATGTAGAAATACAATAAAATTATATTAAAACGAAAAAGAATTACGACGTTTCGATCACAACGCAAGCGATCTTCATCAGGTGTCAAGAACAAATCATGGAGGTAAATACAAAAAAAAGATTAGAGACCAGAACTCAACAAACCTGAAAAAACATTATGTGAAGCACATCCAGTCAGGCCAACAACACAGACACTTCCTGGTGGACCACGAATTTCAGAAGAGTGTTAAATTTCGTGTTCAACCTTTGGATTTCACATACCAGCAATGATAGAATGAAAAATACGGGTACACGGTCAGTAGAAATACATATACAAGTCCACCAAGAGGTAAGGAGAGAGGAAAGACGGACAGGGAGGCAGAGAGAGAGGGGGGGGGGGATGAACAGAAGCTTAAATAGGAAATACGGTTGGAGGGGGGGGAGGGGCCAGAGCGAGAGCGGCAGCTCAAACACGCACATCTTACACATACAAAACGGCAGCTCAAAAAAGGACCACCTCTTGTAAATACAAAACGGCAGCTCAAAAAAGGGCACATCTGACACGTAATTACAACGGTAACTTCCCCGTAGAAGTGTGATAATAAAGTATTAAAGCTTTCGTGACTGCATAAAATTACTCATTGGTTTTTTCGGTAAAGTCATGTATGTAGAAATACAATAAAATTATATTAAAACAAAAAACAATTACGACGTTTCGATCACAACGCAAGCGATCTTCATCAGGTGTCAAGAACAAATCATGGAGGTAAATACAACAAAAAGATGAGAGACCAGAACTCAACAAACCTGAACAAACATTATGTGAAGCACATCCAGTCAGGCCAACAACACAGACACTTCCTGGTGGACCACGAATTTCAGAAGAGTGTTAAATTTCGTGTTCAACCTTTGGATTGCACATACCAGCATAGATAGAATGAAAAATACGAGGTACACGGTCAGTAGAAATACATATACAAGTCCACCAAGAGGTAAGGAGGGAGGAAAGACAGACAGGGAGGCAGAGAGAGAGGGGGGGGGGGGGCGGAGGGATCAACAGAAGCTTAAATAGGAAACACGGTTGGAGGGGGGGGAGGGGCCAGAGCGAGAGCGGCAGCTCAAACACGCACATCTTACACATACAAAACAGCAGCTCAAAAAAGACCACCTCTTGTAAATACAAAACGGCAGCTCAAAAAAGGGCACATCTGACACGTAATTACAACGGTAACTTCCACGTAGAAGTGTGATAAAGTATTAAAGCTTTCGTAACTGCATAAAATTACTCATTGGTTTTTTCGGTAAAGTCACGTATGTAGAAATACAATAAAATTTTATTAAAATAAAAAACAATCACGAAGTTTCGATCAGAACGCAAGCGATCTTCATCAGGTGTCAAGAACAAATCACGGAGGTAAATACAACAAAAAGATGAGAGACGAGAATTCAACAAACCTGAAAAAACATTAAGTGAAGCACATCCAGTCAGGCCAACAACACAGTTAGACACTTCCTGGCAGACCACGAATTTCAGAAGAGTGTTAAATTTCGTGTTCAACCTTTGTATTGCACATACCAGCATAGATAGAATGAAAAATACGAGGTACACGGTCAGTAGAAATACATAAACAAGTCCACCAAGAGGTAAGGAGGGAGGAAAGATGGACCGGGAGGCAGAGGGGGGGGGGGGCGGAGGGATGAACAGAAGCTTAAATAGGAAATACGGTTGGAGGGGGGGAGGGGCCAGAGCGAGAGCGGCAGCTCAAACACGCACATCTTACACATACAAAACGGCAGCTCAAAAAAGGACCCCCTCTTGTAAATGCAAAACGGCAGCTCAAAAAAGGGCACATCTGACACGTAATTACAACGGTAACTTCCCCGTTGAAGTGTGATATTAAGTATTAAAGCTTTCGTGACTGCATAAAATGACTCATTGGTTTTTTCGGTAAAGTCATGTATGTAGAAATACAATAAAATTATATTAAAACAAAAAACAATTACGACGTTTCGATCACAACGCAAGCGATCTTCATCAGGTGTCAAGAACAAATCATGGAGGTAAATACAACAAAAAGATGAGAGACCAGAACTCAACAAACCTGAACAAACATTATGTGAAGCACATCCAGTCAGGCCAACAACACAAACACTTCCTGGTGGACCACGAATTTCAGAAGAGTGTTAAATTTCGTGTTCAACCTTTGGATTGCACATACCAGCATAGATAGAATGAAAAATACGAGGTACACGGTCAGCAGAAATACATATACAAGTCCACCAAGAGGTAAGGAGGGAGGAAAGACGGACAGGGAGGCAGAGAGAGGGGGGAGGGGGGGCAGAGGAATGAACAGAAGCTTAAATAGGAAATACGGTTGGAGGGGGGGAGCGGCCAGAGCGAGAGCGGCAGCTCAAACACGCACATCTTACACATACAAAACGGCAGCTCAAAAAAGCACCCCCTCTTGTAAATGCAAAACGGCAGCTCAAAAAATGACCACCTCTTGTAAATACAAAACGGCAGCTCAAAAAAGGGCACATCTTACACATAATTACAACGGTAACTTCCCCGTAGAAGTGTGATAATAAAGTATTAAAGCTTTCGTGACTCCATAAAATTACTCATTGGTTTTTTCGGTAAAGTCACGTATGTAGAAATACAATAAAATTAGATTAAAACAATCACGATGTTTCGATCACAACGCAAGCGATCTTCATCAGGTGTCAAGAACAAATCATGGAGGTAAATACAACAAAAAGATGAGAGACGAGAATTCAACAAACCTGAAAAAACATTATGTGAAGCACATCCAGTCAGGCCAACAACACAGTTAGACACTTCCTGGCGGACCACGAATTTCAGAAGAGTGTTAAATTTCGTGTTCAACCTTTGGATTGCACATACCAGCATAGATAGAATGAAAAATACGAGGTACACGGTCAGTAGAAATACATATACAAGTCCACCAAGAGGTAAGGAGGGAGGAAAGACGGACAGGGAGGCAGAGAGGGGGGGGGGGGGGTGGGCGGAGGGATGAACAGAAGCTTAAATAGGAAATACGGTTGGAGGGGGGAAGGGGCCAGAGCGAGAGCGGCAGCTCAAACACGCACATCTTACACATACAAAACGGCAGCTCAAAAAAGGACCACCTCTTGTAAATACAAATCGGCAGCTCAAAAAACGGCACATCTTACACATAATTACAACGGTAACTTCCCCGTAGAAGTGTGATAATAAGGCATTAAAGCTTTCGTGACTGCATAAAATTACTCATTGGTTTTTCGGTAAAGTCACGTATGTAGAAATACGATAAAATTATGTTAAAACAAAAAACAATCACGACGTTTCGATCACAACGCAAGCGATCTTCAACAGGTGTCAAGAACAAATCACGGAGGTAAATACAACAAAAAGATGAGAGATGAGAATTCAACAAACCTGAAAAAACATTATGTGAAGCACATCCAGTCAGGCCAACAACACAGTTAGACACTTCCTGGCAGACCACGAATTTCAGAAGAGTGTTAAATTTCGTGTTCAACCTTTGGATTGCACATACCAGCATAGATAGAATGAAAAATACGAGGTACACGGTCAGCAGAAATACATATACAAGTCCACCAAGAGGTAAGGAGAGAGGAAAGACGGACAGGGAGGCAGAAAGGGGGGGGGGGGGGCAAAGGAATGAACAGAAGCTTAAATAGGAAATACGGTTGGAGGGGAGGAGCGGCCAGAGCGAGAGCGGCAGCTCAAACACGTACATCTTACACATACAAAACGGCAGCTCAAAAAAGGACCACCTCTTGTAAATACAAAACGGCAGCTCAAAAAATGGCACATCTTACACATAATTACAATGGTAACTTCCCCGTAGAAGTGTGATAATAAAGTATTAAAGCTTTCGTGACTGCATAAAATTACTCATTGGTTTTTTCGGTAAAGTCACGTATGTAGAAATACAATAAAATTAGATTAAAACAATCACGATGTTTCGATCACAACGCAAGCGATCTTCATCAGGTGTCAAGAACAAATCATGGAGGTAAATACAACAAAAAGATGAGAGACGAGAATTCAACAAACCTGAAAAAACATTATGTGAAGCACATCCAGTCAGGCCAACAACACAGTTAGACACTTCCTGGCAGACCACGAATTTCAGAAGAGTGTTAAATTTCGTGTTCAACCTTTGGATTGCACATACCAGCATAGATAGAATGAAAAATACGAGGTACACGGTCAGCAGAAATACATATACAAGTCCACCAAGAGGTAAGGAGAGAGGAAAGACGGACAGGGAGGCAGAAAGGGGGGGGGGGCAAAGGAATGAACAGAAGCTTAAA